TGCTGCCCCATTTACAGATAAAGGAGGCTCACCAACCTCCAGGGGGAGGGAAGGACAGGGCCTGGGTTTGAATCTCAAGGCTCCAAGGATACGCCTTTGACAACCAGGCTCCCTGCAAGTCCAGGACCTGAGCTGTGCCTGCAGAGTCCTTGGAGGGTTGCATTGTGCCTCCCCCATCAGATGGGGGCCCTTACAAGGAAGGCTCATGTCTCCTCCAGCAGACTGGGACCTTGTAAGTTAGGGCCATGCCTCCTGTGTTGGACTGGGGGCCTTGAAGTTTATACCGTCTGGACTATGCCTCCCTCGTCAGACTGGGAACCCTTCAAGGTAGGGTCATATCTCTCCCATCTAATGGAAGCCCCTGAAATCAGAGCCACAACTCCTCCATCAGACTGGGGGCTTCTGTGGGTGAGGCCATGTCTCTGCCATCAGCTAAGGAAGGCAAAGCTGGCCAGGCGCAATGGCTCATGCCTGTAATCTCAGCCCTTTGAGAGGCCGAGGGAGGAGGATTGCTTGAGCCCAGGAATAGGAGACCAGCTTGGGCAACATGGAGAAACCCTGTCTCTACAAAAACTACAAAAATTGCCGGGTGCGGTGGCTCACATCTGTAATCCCACCACTTTGGGAGGCCAAGGTGGGTGAATCACGAGGTCAGGAGTTCAAGACCAGCCTAGCCAACATGGTGAAACCCCATCTCTACTAAAAATACAAAAAATTAGCTGGGTGTAGTGGCAGGCGACTGTAATCCCAGCTGTTTGGGAGGCTGAGGCAGAGAATCACTTGAACCTGGGAAGTGGAGGCTGCAGTGAGCCGAGATCGTGCCATTGCACTCCAGCCTGGGCAACAAGAGCAAAACTGTCTCAAGGAAAAAATGCCAGGTGAGGTGGCTCATGTCTGTAATCCCAGCACTTTGGGGGGCTGAGGCGGGTGGATCACGAGGTAAGGAGTTCAAAGACCAGCCTGGCCAAAATGGTGAAAGCTTGTCTCTACTAAAACTACAAAAATTAGCCAGGCAAGGTGGCAAGCGTGTATACTTCCAGCTACTCTGGAGGCTGAGGCAGGAGAATTACTTGAACCCGGGCGGCAGAGGTTGCAGTCAGCCAAGATCATGCCACTGCACACCAGCCAGGTGAAGAAGTGAGACTCCATCTCAAAAAAAAAAAAAAACTACAAAAACTAGTTGGCCGTGGTCATACACAGCTGTGATTCCAGCTGAGGCAGGAGAATTGCTTGAACCCGGGAGGCAGAGGTTGCGGGGAGCTGAGATTGCACCGTTGCACTCCAGCCTCGGCAACAAGAGGGAAACTGTCTCAAAAAACAAACAAATAAACAAACAAACACGGGCCCCAGCATGGATGGTCTTTTTTTTTTTAAAGAGATGGGGTTTCACCATGTTGGCCAGGCTAGTCTTGAACTCCTGACCACCTGACCTCAAGTGATCCTCCCACCTCGGCTTCCCAAGCGTGGATGCATCTTGACATCCAGCTCAGTCAGAGACCCCAGACACAGAAGGCTACACAGTGTATGATCCTATCCCTATGAAATGTCCAGGACAGGCTCCTCCACAGAGACAGGAAGTGGATTTGTGGTTACCAGGAGTGGAGGATTTGGAGGGATGGGAAGTGACAGCTAATTGGGTCTGAGGTTTCCTTGGGGGGTGTGGAAAAAGTTCAGGAATTAGACAGCGGTGATGGTCGCACAACATTGTGGGCACACTAAAAACCACTGATTTGTACACTCTGGGTGAATTGTAGGATCTGTGAATTATGTTTTTTGGGTTTTTTTTTTGAAAAGGAGTCTTGCTCTGTCACCCAGGCTGGAGTGCAGTGGCACAATCTCGGCTCGTTGCAACCTCCGCCTCCTGGGTTCAAGTGATTTTCCTGCCTCAGCCTCCGGAGTAGCTGGGATTAGAGGAACTCATCAGCACGCCTGGCTAATTTTTGTATTTTTAGCAGACACGGGGTCATCCGCCCACTTCGGCCTCCCAAAGTGCTGGGATTACAGGCATGAGTCACTGCGCCTGGCCAGTGTGAATTACATCTCAAAAAAAAAGCAACAAGGCCGGGCACAGTGGCTCAAACCTCTAATCTCAGCACTTTGCGGGGCTGATGCAGGCAAATCACAAGGTCAGGAGTTCAAGACCAACCTGGCCAACATGGCGAAACCTGGTCTTTCCTAAAAATACAAAAATTAGCCGGGCATGGTGGAGGGTGCCTGTAATCCCAGCTATTCAGGAGGCTGAGGCAGGAGAATCG